CCTCTAAAACTTTTAAACATGTGAAAAATCAAGTTTTATCATCCCGAAATTCCTTAGGGTTCAAAAATCAAATATAACCTCAAACTAGAGCGCTGACACAAAACATTACAAATCTAGAAATATCCCTGGACAGGAAAAACAGCTAAATACTGGAAAAGATACTCATTTATTCTATGAAATTAGATGTATACGTAGTCAAGTAGTTATTCCGCTGCCGTTGGGCCTATTTGCAAAGCCTTTTCTTCTTTGTTAAATTCTAACTTTCTGTAAAATTTCATGAGAATCTCAGATGTACCGATAATCCATTTTAGGTAGCTTCCAAACCTACCATGTCACGTGAGGATCTATGCAATTTATCTGCACTGCTCCCCTGTCAACCCAGATCTTAATGTCTGGAATGCGAAAGATTATTTTTTCATTTCGTTTGGTAAACTGACACCTCCGCGTAACTGCACCACCAAATGCAGTCAGACTCGCTCAGATACGCGCTGCTAGAATACATCTCAACTGTGGTCGGCCGCGCCATTCAGACAAGCTGAAGCGGAGTCTGCTACCAGATGTCATTTTTTGTCTGTAGTTTTTGAAATATCCAGCTTTAGGGATCTGAAGATTGCAACTTTTTCGCTACCTCCTCTGCTATTTCGTCGAGTCGTCCAATTTCTTAACAGAATGCTGAATACATTTCGTTCCGAACTCGCAAACTTCTTATAACAAAGAGAAATGTGATTATGCTAATAAAAAACTTCAGTTCGAAGTTGCAAAGAAGGTGGGAAGCCTCGTTACATATAAAAGCGGACATATATGAACTCTTAAAGCATTCATCGCTTCGTTCCATATCATCCTAGCGTTTTACTTTAATACGTTTATAGAATAAACGACATCTCTTAACAAAAGGTTGTTCATAAATTATAACTTATAGCAGCATTTGATGTTATGAACTCCGTCATTAATTGTTTAAGTGCTCTCTTGCCCCAGGGAGAAATATAGAAAATGCAGGAACTATTTGTTTTTTGTAACTGCACCTAAATACTTATCCATACCTAGACGCTGCAGAAGATTCAAAACTATGTTAAAGAAAGAATGATCTTTGGCGAAGAATCTACCTGATATGTATCTCCATTCGATTCGGTGAGACGATGCTCCTTGAGGGAGGCTAAAATATTAAATTAGAGGAGATAGAAGGAAAATTGCGTCATGCACCAGATTTAAACCTACGGCCTCCTACACCCTAGGCAGACGAAAAGTAGTTGTACAGACGTGTTCCTGTATACACGTTGTAACCCTACCTAAATATTGTATTCTAGGGGGAGGGTCAAAATGATGGTAACCTTGAATACGACCTTCAAGATCATTTCAAGGTCAAGTGAATATTTTCAAACAAAACCCCTCTTTTTCGCACTAACATTAAAAAAGGAGTAAATACTACGTCCGAACATTACCTTGACCATGACCTTGATCATTGACTTCGAGGTCATTTAAAAGTCAAATCAAGGCACAAAAACGGTTTGCTCTAGCAAAAAAGTTTGACAGCACAGTTCTAAGGTTTGTGTGATCACCTAAAAGTAACCTTGGTCAAACCTCGCAATTGCGCAGTCGAAGATATTTGTTAGAGCAAATTATTGGCGATGTCTACTCATAGGTCATAGGCAGCAGTGCCACCTTTTCACACACTACAATAGTGAACTTTTTAGTAGAGCTATTTTTGCCTGTTTGCTTCCCGTTGCCAGTATCCAATGACTTGACCTATACTGTAGAGATGATTGCTTAAAAGCATGAAACAAAGTTATAAATGTTTGGTTATGGTTACAAAAAGCAGACACATCCTATTCAGCTCGCAGATCAATATTCCAACAGGCAGTGCTGAAGGCAGTTTCTTCTTCATCGGGCGATTATTTTCGTTATGCTCAGTGAATATCCCAACCAAAATGTCTGGAACTGGTTACAATTTAGTGACTCACTGCATCGCAAGACACGCCACAGTAGCAGGAGCAAGGCGTCGCTTATAATTCAGCCGAACAAAGCTCTTTGAAATTGCGGAACCGACCAAGTGAGCAAGCCGTGTCTTGATGCACTCGTATATTACCCCTTTGCCAGGCCAGAAGTTAGGGATAAATCCACTGACACTACTAAATCTTTATATTTGGTGATAGACCATTGCCGAGAAAATACCAAGGATTATTATGGTCACAGTATACGTTTCATCTACATCTATTGTTTTCACTTCACAAATCGTAAGTTAACGAAAGTTTAAGAGATAAGAGCATATCATTTCGTATCTGATTTTAGTTCAGTTGAGTTGCCAGATGACCCGTGTCCGTTTTGAGGTCATTTCGAATATAGTGGAATGACCATAAGCTGAAAGCACCTTGTAGGTTTTGCTCTAGTTTCGCAGCGAAATTAGCATAATATATACTAAGTGACATATAAATCCGAACACCCAGTTTAAATGGTTTTATTTTAATAAAATTTTGTATAAGTACTTAATGAAGCATAATAAGTAAATGATAAAAATTTAAAAATGATTGCACTGCTTTAAAACCCTTTGACCTTTAATAATGTGTGGATACACCCTGATGTGCTACGCATTCTCCAACGCGCCTAGGCATGCTTCTGATCAGGTGGTCAATGTCCTCCTGTGGTATCTCATTCCAGGCAACCACCAACTCCTCTCGAAGTGCTTCTAGAGTCTGAGGAGGACGTTGCAAATTGAGCAATCTCCTACCCATCACATCCCACACGTGTTCAATTGGGGATAAGTTGGGAGATCTTGGTGGCCATGGTAACAATGTGACATCATTATGTTGAAAGAAGTCTATTGTGACTCTTGCAACATGTGGTCGGGCATTATCTTGTTGGAAAGTTGGATCTGCCAGGGTGTCAAGATAGGGTAAAAGATGGGGTTCTAGAACTTCGTGGATATAACGCTGCGCGTTCATGTTACCTCTGATGAAGATTAAAGGTGACCTGGAACCATAAGCTATAGCACCCCAAACCATAACTCCAACAGTGTGATGAACATGTCTTTCAACAAAAAACTGTGGATTCCTCCTTTCACCACGTCGCCTTCTAACCCTGGCACGACCATCGTGCATGCCTAAACAAAATCGAGACTCGTCACTAAGGACAATACTGTTCCATTCCTGATCCCAGAGTGACCGTTGTCTGCACCACTCAAGGCGATCACGTCGGTGTTCTCGAGTTAAAGGGAGGACTCAGTGTGGCCGGTATGAAAACAAGCCAAAACTTCTCATTCGTCGGTAAACACTTCGCATGCCAATAGGTCTTCCGTGTTCTGCAAACCATTCATTTGCAATGGACCTGGTAGTGGAGAAACGGTCCCTTAAGGCCAATAATCTTAGGCGGCGATCTTCACGGTCTGTTGTTCTACAGCGGCGTCCAGTGCCCCTTGCTCTTTGCGTACGGCCTTCTCGAAGCCATTCCTGACAACACCTAACCACAGTGTCTACACTTCTTTGCACTCTAACTGCAATTGCCCGAAAAGAAAGTCCAGCTTCCCGAAGTCCCACTATACGGCCCCTATCAAACTCACTAAGTTGACGAAATCGTACAGGTCTCCGTACTCTAGGCATCGTAACCGATCGTAAAGGATGTTAAGAACCAAAATCCGCCAACGTTGATTCTTTACTGCGGCTGAAATATTCATTTTTAGAGCGTTAGTGAATTAAAAAAAAGCAGTATAAAAACCGGAATGTCCAACTGATAAGGCTGAAAATTTTTTCACTTGTTATTTATAGTAAGATGAATACATTCACCAACTTTTATTAAAATAAAACCATTTAAACTGGGTGTTCGGATTTATATGTCACTTAGTATAGTATAGTTGCAGTCAGCGTTCTTGGCGGTTGCGTCATTAATTCCATATGGAAATGAGTAAACAGGTAAATAGTCTCCGTACCATGGGCGCAGACTAATCTTCAGCGCATCAGCTACTCTCTCCAGTACGCATGAAGTGGTAACACGGTACCGGTACCATAAATTTAACACGAGCCTTCGTCCTTCTCCATTGATCGTATTTCCGGGCATTGTACAAATTTATGTTGAAGATTGATAACAGGACAACTCATATTGCACGCCGATGTCAAGTAAGTTGTCACTGTGACAAATATGATTGAAGGGCACTCGTACGTAACGACAAAGTTTTCGAGACGGAGACACACAACTAAAAAACGTATGTCTTTGAGCTTACCGAACAAACGTTCACACACAGGGGTATGTTGTATGTGTATGTATGAGGGAGATGGAGATATATAAAGGGATACTGGTAGTCTTACTTTGATCCACCAAGAACGGTGACTACAACTATACTCGTATATACATCGAGCTAAAGTCTATCGAAGAAAAACATTAAACTAAAACAATAACCAGCGCGTGTTGAGTGAATGATGATATGTTTCAAGAAATGGGGCAGAGGCGATCCAGCGATCCAAGTACAGGACTAATGCCAAACAAGGAAGGTGGAGTGGGAGACGACTCGGCGATGTATGCAGGCTTTTCGGCCCTGTAACGTGCTCGGCGTTCTGGATTCATATCACGTGGAGTATGCTTGAATATGTTCGTGTATACTTTCTTTCTTCGATGAGTGGTCAATATAGTATTTAGAGAGGCGCTAGTAGAATTTGTTTGGCTATATAAAATGGCGCCAGGGGGCGGTGCCGAAGAAGGTACGTTTGTTTCATAATGATGAAGGTCTCGCTTAAGTTTCTAACTGTGTAAGTTTTGATACTAGCAATTGACATTTACACACTTCGCAGCGTTGCTGCTTACTGTTTATGGGATAATTCATTTATAATCACACGGATTTGAGGACTAATAATTATATGTGACCACACATCACATCATAAAGACTAGATTAGGCCGATCAGTATAATTCACGGCTGTTAAGACAGTCGTCGTTAGAAGAATCTGAAATCCAAGTTGGCAAACCAAGGTCTAAGTAAACAAGAAATATTCAATGATTCGTCTTCTTGCCGCAAACTTACCGTTGTAGTTGTTGGAGATAATACCGCTAACTTTCCCTGCCACACGACCACCTACAGGCATCTTGCTGCTTCAGGTTTCCCAGATTTTATTTTATACTAGTACTCCTCAACTGCTATTCATCCGTCAGTCCAGTCTATCCTGGAACAAAATTTATCTTGGTAAACGATCGTAAGTGATAGAAAAGAAAACAGGCTTTTGCTGACTGGAATTATAATGTGGCTTTTGATGCATTGAGAGATTGGTTATAGTATTTGCCTTTCATAAATGTTTGTAGTTTGCTCCTAAAGCAAAGTATAAAAACTAGTGATTGATAATGGCTTGCTTTGTAATACATGAGAATATGAGGAATTTCCAAATTAACTCAACAAAATTCCTCACATTTCAGGGAAAAACGTTGTATTGGAAATGGATATCCTGAAATGCAGATTCCACTTTTTTAATATTGCATTATCAAGTTTTCCTCCGTTTCGTTGTAGGAAGCCATGAAACCAGTCCATCGCTAGTCGATTGCCTGAAATGCAGATCTCACTTTTTTAATATTGGGTAACCAAGTTTTCCTTCGTTTCGTTGCAGGAAGCCATGAAATCAGTCCATCGCGTTTTATATAACGCGTTGAAACGTACCGTGTTCAACTTTGTTGATTTTGCGACGCATATTTTCTTTCAGTCAAAGATGTGGCTCTCTGTCGTCCTGAGGGTAATGACACACACGCAGAAATATGACGAAACTATGTTTATTTTTAGCTCAGTACAAGTCTTTCTTCCATTTTTAAAAACCACTCCTTTTCTAACGAGTAGTTTCCATGACGACGTACAGTCTCATATTTTTTATTTGGTGTTAGATCTCCTTAAGGTAATATAATATTCCTCGAGTATCGATGTAAATTTTGCATTTTACCACAAAAAAAATCCACGAGATTCAAATCTGGTGTGTACTGTGACTATGCAGTGACACCAAAGATAGACAGCAGTGATTCCGGAAGTTTTACCTATGGTAGCACTTGCGGTGAGGCAAGTTACCCCAACATGCTAAGCCTTGGTCTGTTTACTGTAAGCGGAATATTTTATATACTGGAAATATAACATAGTTAAATATACATCTTTTGCAGATATCCATCACCAGTAAAACATACTGTTGCAGAGCTTGCACTTTTAGAGTTGATTATTCGCATCGCTGACATTGCATAGCCTCCGCGGAGGTCACAAAATTGAAGCTACTTGGCTTCAGCGTTATATAAAATGCGATGTCGTCAGTAACGATGGAAATCAAAAGGAACAAATATTCAAAAGACGAGAACGCCTTTTCTGGATATTTATTTTCAATTAAAATGTATTTTTGTAATTTAAATTGTTCTGGGATAATATATCAATACTTCAGCTTAGAACTGAATCAACCCAAGATCCTATTTCTTCAAAGATGATACTCAAACGACTTAACAGACCATATGAAGCTGTATTTTAAGCTGTGGAGCAAGTACTCAAAACCTCAGCACTTTGATTCAACCACCATGACAACTAATGCCGATTTCACAGGAACATGAGAGATGGAACAACTATCACAATTATTTACTTATATTTTAAATACGATCAATGAATTGATCAAAAATAAATTTGATGATATGACTGAGCTTACACAGAAAATAGAGACCTCAGTATTTTTCAAAGTTGGTGTTACTGCTCTCATACCTAACTTCTGGTATTTGGGCAGGCAGACCTGGAAGAGCTATTGATCCATCACTATGAATAGAAGGCCGGTGTAAGCTTTAACGTGAATTGAATATTTCATTACTACTGCAATACTCTCTTTCTCTGAAATTGGAAATTACATTGACATGACAGGCGTACTCATTCGAATCAAATAAATCATATTATGTGAGCACTTCATCAATACGGGGACTAATCACTAAAATCCATTACAGTATATGTAATAAAGCAGAATTGACGTGAACAGGAAGATAATGGAGTGCTCAATCGTCATCGTATGGAAATCCGACGTATACACCGGTTCTTTTTTTTTTTTTTATATCGAAACAGCCGCGCAGGCAGAAGCCTAAATGCCGGAACACCGCGGCTGCTATGATGATCCCAAAGAAATTTTGTTAATACGATTTTTGAACTGCCTAAGGTTAGTAGAACTGGGAAAAGCTTCCTCCCGTAGTTTGTTCCACAATCTAGATACCCTCGGGACAAAGGAGCGGTCGTATCGGCCAGTTCTGGATGTACGAAGTTTGACACGGTTAGGATGGGACGCCGAAGTCAGGCGGGTCTGTCTGGCAGGCACATCGCGCGGCGGCATCATGGAAGAGAGCTCTGAGGAGCAAAGCCCGTTGGTGTAGCGATAGAAAAGAGCTAGATCGCCGACGGCCCGCCGGTGCGAAAGAGTCCCGAGACTGTCTGTTAGAGAAGAGTCATCGATCAGTCGGACCGCCCTCCTCTGGACAGCATCGAGCATGGACAATGTAGTCGGCGCGGCAGCACCCCAAATGTGTGAGCAATACTCGAGGCTAGGCCTTATCTGGGCCTTGTATAGAATGAGAAGGTCATGCGGAGAAAAGTACTTCTTAGCCCTAAACAAATAGCCTAGCTTTTTCCCAGCAGCAGCAGCTATTGAAGAGATGTGTTCGTGCCAGATCAGGTCCTCGGTGATCTGGACTCCGACCAGCCGAAATGAATGGCTCTTTGGTAGGACTCGACCGTCCATAGAAACTGTATGAGCGCTAGGACGCTTTTTGTTCGTCAAAGTACAGTACTGTGTTTTGGAAGCATTGAACTGTACAAGATTGTTGCGTCCCCAAGCAGTGATAGCCTCCAGGTCTCTTGTCAGAGAAGTAGTCGTCGCTAGTCTTCTTTTTTCCAGCTCAGCGGCAGAGATCGGCTTGTCACTCTGAATTCCTGCATGTAGAGTGCTGTCATCAGCGAAGCTGTGGATAGGGTTGATCGTGCAGGAAAGGAGGTCGTTGATATGTAAGAGAAACAGTGTTGGAGCCAAGACCGATCCCTGGGGAACACCCGCGTTGACGTTGTGGGATGAAGAGGAGAATCCGTCAATTACGACGGATATCTTGCGGCCAGAGATAAAGTCAGCCACCCATCTGCAAAGCTTTTCTGGGAGGCCGTAGGATGGAAGTTTGCTTAAGAGGGCAGCGTGCCACAGCTGATCGAACGCTTTCGTGATGTCAAGAGCAACGACATGAGCCTCACCATGAGACTGGATGAGTTTACTCCACAGTTGCGTGACGTAAACTAGGAGGTCACCTGTGGATCGTTGGTGCCGGAAACCGTACTGCCTGTCGCTAATCAAGCTGTGACGTTCGAGGTAGTCCAGAAGCTCGCGATTTATGCACCTCTCCATCACTTTACTTATAACAGAAAGCAGAGCTATAGGCCTGTAGTTGTAAGGGTCGGTTTTAGATCCTTTTTTTTGGGATGGGCTGTACATGAGCAAATTTCCAGTTTTCTGGGAAGGTGCCGGATTCATAAGATATCTGGAAGAGACGCGAAAGAACTGGAGCAAGCTCAGCTGCACATCTCTTCAGTACAATGGCAGGAATCAAGTCCGGACCAGAAGCTTTGTTGATGTCGAGCGACAAGAGCACTCGTCTTACGGTCTTATGCCTGAATGTTACCTCCCGCATAGTGTGGGGAACCCTTTGAATTGACGGCACTTGGGCGTTGGTGGGGACGTCCATGGTGGAGTTGGCAGCAAAGATCTTGGCTAGCACTTCCGCCTTGGCCTTTGAGTCGAATACAATAGTTCCATCCTGACACGTAAGTGGTGGAAGGCTACTGTGTGAGAAGTTCTTTTCAATCTGCTTGGCCAGCGTCCAGAAAGACCGACTGCCATTGCGCTGCGACATTACCCTGTGCCTAACTTTTATACCATGCTGGGTTTTGGCATTGCTATCCGCTTCGTTATATTTGTTTCTGGACTCGACGTCGGCTTGTCTGTTCTCTACAGTGGGGTTTTGTAAGTAGGTTCTGTGGGCCTTGATCTTCTGCTGGCGAGCAGTGTCACACGATCTGTTGAACCAGCCGTTGGACCCTGGTTTAGGAACTTTCACTGTGTGAGGGATGTATTCCTCCATTCCGACGTGGATAATTTCAGTTATTGAAGAACAGACAGTCGACGCATCCGCGTCAGTGAAACAGACATCTCTCCAAGGAAAGCTAGAGAAGAAGTCTCTGAGCCCCTCCCAGTCGGCATGTCCGTAATTCCAAGTTTTGCGGCCTGTGCGAGTTTCTGCGGCCACAGCGGCTTCTGACCGAAACCTAACCTCCACAACACCGTGATCTGAGTTACCCAGGGGGGGACAGGACGGCAGTGCTGTAAGGTGCAGGATGCGTGGTCAGAAAGAGATCCAGCAGGCTACTGGCGTGTGACGAGACGCGGGGGAAAAAAGTAGGGCTCGTCACCAGCTGGGTCAGCCCTTGAGTAAGAGCGAACGCTTCGACTGCACGACCTGCTGCATCGGTCTTATTTAAGCCCAACCAAAGCTCATTATGGGCATTGAAATCACCGAGAAGAACTACCTCTGAAGCGGGGTGATTGATGTTCAGGAAGTCGATCTGGACGGCGAGGTATTCGAGTAGGTCATCCCAGTTATGGTTTGAGGGAGAGCGATAAAGGCAGCAAATAAATTTGGGTGATGTTTTGGAGTTGAGGCGAAGCCACAGAATGTCCTTCCGGTCTGATTCCAAAGAAAGATCCCTGGAGCAGGAAAGACTGCTGCGGACAAAAGCCACAACTCCCCCGTTCTTTCTCAGATTGGAGTGCACCTCGTAGTTTGGTAAGTTGAGATGGTTAATCGGTGCAGCCTCTGAGATTTTTGTCTCCGCCAAGAAAAGCACGGCGGGACGATTGGATTGCAGGTAGTGATGAACAGCATCAATGTTGCTGTTGATCCCGCAGATGTTCGAAAAACAAATTTTATCTTCGATGTTGTTCCCTCGAGCCCACCCTCCACCCGGACATTCCGAGAGTGGAGTGAGTTTACGTCCGGAGTTTTTAGTGCTCGAGGGATCCATCATCATTAATTTCTTTGTTTTGGTAGATAACCGACTGCATAGCTTAGGTGTAGAAACATGCGGACATTTATAAGACACCCTGGGAAAAGCTAGCGGGTGGTACTGCCTCGGTCGACTGGTCCTTGTCTACCACCTTCTTTTTACGTATTAGTGATGTTAAATAGACCTAAAGTGGCACGTTGGCGGACTTGTACCGCCACCCGGCAATCGGTACTGAGGTATTCCTTAACGCGTGCGCAATCACTTGGACGGGAAGAAGTTGTATACTGGATACAACGACTTCCGGAACAAGCATTTGCCACGGCCCTCGCTCAGTAGGGGTTAGGGTTCGTGAGGGAGCAAGGGTATTTTCATATCGTACAATTTTTATTTTTATAATAATCTGCCAATGGGATTATTCTACAAATCTCATTTTTATGTTTATTGGGTAGCATACCCGGAATTTTTTTTGCACGCTTAATTGAGGGAAAAGAAAATAATAAGTTGAAATTCTTGGAATATGGTTGGATCATCTCAGTACTCGTAGCGTAAGCGTATGCATCAATCGGAGTATCTGTCAGTATGCGAGCTGAGATTCAGGGGTTGAAATTCAACTACAGGTTTACAGATATTATTTTTTACGTTTAAGACGAGTGAGCACTGTTCTGTATGCACAACTGCCGTGCATATCACCATTTCAATCCACATTAACCATGTTGGTCGAAATGTTTACTCAACTGCTTAACAAGACATACTATATTCCATGAAACATCAGGTATATTCAAGCGATCATTTTCAAAACGACTTGCATTCATCAGATTCAGTTGGTACATTAATTAATTAAAATAATACCATTTAATTTTTTTTAACTGAAGCAGCTGTGTAAGGGGCGTTAATGCCGAGGCACCGCGACTGGTATAAGGGACTTCTGAACGCCTTATTAATCAAATTTTTGAACTGAGTAAGGTTACCAGAAGTGGGAAAAACCTCATCATACAGATTGTAATTGATCGACACCCTAGGAACAAAGGAGCGGTCGTACCGGCCAGTCCTCGATGTATGAAATTCGACATAGCCCGTTGGTACGAGAGGCACCCGAGACTGTCTGGTAGAGAGGTGACATTGATGTGTCTAAACAGGATCGGGGTAGACAATGTAGTTTGGGTAGCAGCACCCAAACATGTAAGTAGTACTTGAGGCCAATACTTATCTAGGCTTTGTACAGAGTGAGGACTTTATGCGGAGAAAGGCCTTAGGCCTGGACAGATAACCTAGCTTTACCAGCAGCTGTTGCGATTGATGAGATGTGTTCATACCAGATCAGATCCTCGATGATTTCGAAGCATTCAGCTTTACCAGATTGTTGCGTCTCCAGGCAATGATAACCTCCAGGTCTCTCGACAGAGACCAAGTCGCTGCTAGTCTTCTTTTCTCCACCTCATCAAAAACAGGGACGTATGCTCCAAAACAGTTCAGTCGGATAATACTTATTATTGGTGAACATATTCTATCTGAACAGTGGCATATATAAAATTTGAGTTCGGGGATGGGGGGGGGGGTCATTGGTTTCCGGTGATATGTCCGACTGTCATGATTAAGATGTTTTCAAAATCGTAAATGATGATAATGTAGAAAAATTGAAGATTTAATTAGACAACTTGACTTGTCCAGGGGTTAACGTAGCATTTTAGTTTAATTTTTAAGTTTTCTTTTAAAGCTTTGCTAGGGTAATATTGAAAAGGACATCATTTTCCCTCTAACAAACTGGCAACTAGCTGCTTTATGCAATTTTGAGAAAATTTATTTAAGTTCATATTTCTAACTTGTGAAGTGAAAACAATAAGTCTTATGGATTTATATCGCACAAAGTAATAATTCGCTTAAAAATTGGCGATTTTGCCCAGAACGTGATCACTATTTTGTACCGTCCTTACGCCACAGTCCATGAAGACATCCAACCAGATAGTGTGTTGATACACCCAAAAACGGATCCGAAAGGTCCCAGCGACATCTATGAGAAAACAGAACTTAAAAACTAATTAAGGAATCCACTTTGAAAATAGTTAGTGTGTTTCGTTCTGCGACTGTCTCATAGATGGCGCTATGCTCTTCAGTGCTTTTTTGAAGCCTCCGTAGTGCCAATTTGAATGTCGTATCTTTAGGTAGAAAACTGTAATGGAAACACCGTTTTTAGTGTTCAAAGCCTAATTTATTACTCTTTTCTAATTTACCACAACACTTGCAACAAATTTATCACAAATTTATGACCATCTGGACTATAGCTTGTTGATTCATTAGACTGCCTATCTTCGTTCCGCCATTTCTGCCTATATTTATTCCACTATGGACGAGTCGAGAAACACTCTAGCGTTTTCCAGACAGTATCGCGAACCGTCATGGTAGTGGTCTAGATGGAAGGAAATTGAACTCGATGGTCGCATAATTTGTTGCCTAACCGTTGTTGTTTCTGGAAACCTGTCAAATCTTCTGGTCGACGTACACTAGGGTATCTCGCTGGTACCCAGAGTTCCAGTTATACGAGGGCGTTACAATACCTCAGGATACCCAGTTAATATAAAGTAGCAGAATCAAACAATTTAACTCTTTTCAAAAGAGATCTCTAAGTCCTTTTTTGTATTTTGCCATGGTCGCATAGATGGATCTTAGAGATCTCTTTTCGGGAGTATAATACAGGAATTTTCATATCGCACAATTCTAATGGGCGCCGAAGCGTAATAATTACATTCAATGCTTGAAACGCGACAGGAATACGAACTCTATGCAGACAGAATGAAAAGAAATGTAAAATACGCATTTCTGCTTCAGTAGGCGAACTTCGAATTCTATACTCTAGCAGGATTTTATCAAATGTACATACCGAATCAGGATCGTTCTATTTGCTTTCGAAAATATTGTATTTCCAAAGCAATGTGTTTTGAAGTAGCCATTAGTGGGAACTGCACCAAGTGTGGACAATGTAGTCTTTACAGAATTTTATGTAAAGTAAGGAGGTTGGATGCAGAACAGCTCTGAAAGGTAAACCAGCTTTTTCCCAGTGGCTCCAGCATATGATGGTAGTTATTCATGCCAAATATGTTAAATTACCTTACCCCTCAAATCTTAACACATAACGCATTCCAGCGAGTATTTAGGATCTTATCTGAGCTTTGTAAACAGCAAGAAGGTTTTATGACAAACATACAACGGCTTCCCAGCACCAGGTAATGTAATTGACAAGATGTGATTGTGTCAAGCCAGGTTTTCAACGGTTTGACTTTGTGTCGAACTACTTCATATTTCTGCATCCAAATGTAGTGAATTCTAAATCTTACGTCAAAGAGCATGTAGCAAATCGTGTTCTCGGAAATGTCAATATTTTTTTAGCAGATGAGATGCTAGATTGTTAAACCTTTAAAACATTATTTGGCCCATAACTTTGATAGTTTATAGTTTCATATCTTGTAACTCTTTGTGATACAATTTCATTAGCTGCATTCCAAATATAAGCCATGCGGCCGCACTCGGTAATAAATTTTTAATTATCTGGGCTAGAGCAACATGCGGGATATTAAACTGGTAATTTACTGGACATTCTGGGAATATTTTACATCGGATACACACACAGCATCCTCCATTTAAATGCACTTTGGTGTTAGCACATATGAATTTCCATTATCGTAATGATACCTAATAATTGTGGAACAATTATCCCAATAACCACACATATTGGTAGCCATTCAGTATGGCACCTTGATAAGTGACCTTCTTTTGTTCACGCAACTGTCGAGCTCAGTCTCATGATCGAAAAACTAGTTTTGAAAATGATCACCTGGGTTAGTTGCTGACACACATAGCGATTGTGCATACAGACAAATTAATGTTATTTGGTTTTACATAAAGCTTATTAATAAGTAAACCTTAAATTAGATCCTTAACTGACATGAGTAGTCTGATTGGTGCTTATACGACGAGTGCTACGGTAAGTTGACAGTACCAATAATTCTTGCTGGTACCTGTTTTTTTTCATTTATCTGAGTAGAAAATATCCAATTAAAAACTAGGGAGCATTATTTGTACACTATTCAACCACCATTCAGTTGAGCATGCTACCCGCCCTTTCTTTGGTACCTACAACTTCTTGAAAGTGTGAACTACTGTGTGCTAAGCTAATCGTTATTGTTACAGACACGGATGGCACATACACACATCATTTCTAGGTATATACAGCTAATAGACCGACAGCTATGGCATATTCCTGTAGATGACGCTACGTATCTCATTTTATTTCGGATAATTTTTTGGATGCGGGAGTAAAGTATTACATAGGTTATCTTCAAGTAGAACCATTAACAACCGATTGGATATGTCAATAGTAGAATACGTTAATCAATGGTTAAATAAGTGTACGTGCTCAAACTCAAAACACTAGTTTATGCATGAGACCTTCATTTGGAAAGGTTCTCTACCATCCTCCTCTGATCCAAGTCCTTGCCGTGTGTGAAATGTCATGATTCAAACGTGTCAAGTGAACAGCGGGTTGCAGATATGTATAACCTTATTTATCGCCTCTTTAGATTCAACTTTATCTGTCATTATTAGTAGTTTCCAGTTGAATGAATTGTTTTTTTAATAAAAATTTCTAATTTCGTGGGGAACTTGATAAAATCAATACAATACCTACCCTATGTATCACTTTAACAAACACGTAACAACCCATTGTTCATAAGCTCTGAAGAGATTAATATCCTATAGTCTACAGCAGCGGTTTTTCTTCTTTCTGTGAACCCCTTATAAAATATCGGCGAACTCTCTGAGCAGTCGTTAGTGAGAGTAAATAAAACAGTACTAATTGGCTGTTATCAAAATTTATTAATCATATGAATAGTAGTTATAATGAACAAAGTAAATTAAAACATAACTGTGACGTAAAACATTTAGAGAAACGTTATTAAAACTAACTAAGCCTTACAAAAAAAGGATTAATGTAATATGAATACAAGTAATTCGATACTTGCAAAAATCCTCAATGGGATATTTGTGCCTGTTTGTTGGAACAATGAAATTAAAAATTTGGTTCAATGTCTGAAGGCTTAAGTCTTAGATCGGGTTCTGCATTTAAGCTATTTCTGTACTTATCTTTTAGGTAAATGTATGTTGAAAATACCTTCTCACACAGATACGTTGTACAGAACGGTAACAAAATTTTTATGGCTTTTTCTGCTAAGATTTTTACATTGAGCCAGAAGTCTATTAAAGAATGATCTGCAAAAACAGCTCTTAGACGATTGTCAGAGGATAAATCAACAAGCTTTTCTTTTCCCAATAAAGATAAGAAAGTGTTAGAAATTATACTTCCTAACTGAAGCTATTTGAGATGTTCAGTAATATCTCTTTGAATGTTTTCATTAAGTAGAATTTTATTCTCTGATAAAAAGCTGCTAAGAGAATCAAAACAATCGTACTCATTCATCTGCAGACAGTGATTCTAAAAGTTGAAGTTCTTTAGCATGGCTTCTATTCTATCATAGACATTGAAAATGGTGATTCCTGGACCTTGTAAAGACATATTTGGTTCATTTAATTAAAAAAAAAAATAAAAAAAAAATCGGCTAAGTATGCAAGTTTTTGGAGCTACAGAATATCAGATAAGAAGCGGCCAAATGAAATCGATGGCCAAGAAGAAATACCTGAACTTCAGACTTCAATTCAAACAAGCGGGTCAAAGCTTCTGTATGAAGTAATGAAGAGACGTGGAGACTTCCCAAGTCCTCATAAAGTTCACGAAACAGACGAGAATCTGTAGCACAGGACTTTATACAATTTACAACTTGTATAGCTTCGCTTAAAGTACTGGCTTGTCTATGAATACAGCAGTGAGTCCATTCTATATTTTCGTTGATCTTCATCATCCATGCCATAAGACCAGAATATGTTTCAGTCATTGATTTTGCACCTAAGCAAAATGATCAGTTGATTTCTTGTTTTTCAGAATAGTCAGTAAAAAGTTCACTTTCAACACTGTTCGCTAAATCGTTGATTCTCCGTGACACTGTGCTGTTTGATAAGGGCACAAGGTCAATTGTTTTGCAGCTTTTTCTCCAAGCATACACATTGCGATGTCTTTAGCACAAGGTCCGATCACATTTTCTGCCACTGTATGAGCTTTTCCAGATCTTGCGATTCTGTAACTAACTCGAAATGATGCCTCAAGAGCCATTTTACTATCTGCGTTGAAAGCCGACAGGAAAGAAGAAATACTACAATTCCTTCTTCCGATTTCCTTTTAAAATATTCAATAGGCTTATCCTTGTAATCCGGATGTCTTGTCTCAAGGTGCCGACGAAGAAGCGATGGTTTTAAACTACTGTTGGCCAGGACTCCATTACAAATTACACAAAGCGGTTAAGGTTCTGACTCTTCCTCAGTGAAATAAAAACCAATTTGTAAATAGTCAGTGTCGTATTTTCGTTTCTTTCCTTTTTTCCACCATGCTTGTTTATTTTCTTATTACCTTAATTTTGGCGAGAAGGTACCTCAATGTAACTTTCAATATCGCCACCAATGTTGGACCCAAATCGGAAACCGAAGAAGAAGCAGTAGTTGATTGCTCATCTGGCTTTTCGTCAGAACTCTTGCCGGATTGCTGTAGCGGTGGTGTTGCACTATTGAAGACAAATTCCGCCATTGCCATAATTTTTTCGCGAACCCCCTTCATATAGCTCCAACCAACGCTCGAGAAACCCTGGTCTACAGTATCGTCTATAGTAAAGTTTATATACATATACTCAAAGACACGCTGCGTTAACAGTGACACTCATATGTTTTCCACTTTGGTACCTACTCATTCGTTCAAACGCAACGACATAATATTTCTTCAGATAGCTTAAAAAATAACTGCTTGAGTATAAAGGCTACACATAACTTAATATTGTCATATAGGAGATGCAGTAAGTAAAAGCTTTGATCAGCCATAGTTTCCACTTCCAGGTCTAAAAACTGTAAAAAGAAGTCGATCTATACCGCTCCAGCTTCTATCTTCATATCTCTGCACTGCCAGACTCATCTCTGCCAGTATGTCGCTAAGCTAGAAATTAATAGACTCTATAAAGATTTAATCAACTAGTATGAAAATATTCAAAGTTACGCTGCACCGAGTTGCTTCGGTTTATTAAACTGCGAGGCAATACTCGCGATGATGTGGTGGAAACTTCAGGGTAATTTAACATTAAGTGCTAGCTAAATTTAACACCGTACACTTACTTGTGTATTTCAGCGTAGTGCGTTATATGAAGTGGTTAAGCTGGTATTATAATGAGCAAGGTTTTAGTCACCTGATGCTCTATCGACTTATTGGTATTCGCAAATAGCTACTTCTAAAGCTCAATAATGCAGCATGTTAAATAAGAGACACTTAAGGGAACATTCAGATGTAATGAATAGCCGACCTTTATCAATGGTGTCATTGTTTTAGAGCGGGAGGTATTGAAGCAGGGTTCGCAAGATATTGAGGTTAGGAAAGTCCAAACGGACAATTCCCTTTTGATACTAGACTAAATAGTGTAATCTGATTCATAGGATCCTAAAAGCTAATGAATTTAGACTATTTCAACAGCAATGATCCCTATATTCAATTCATCATAGAAAAAGCGGATGATAACCAATCAGTTCCACTCCTGGACTCCAAAATCATCCGAAACAATAATATCTTCTTGGTAGGCTGGTACAGAGGGGCCATGGCATTCGACAGGTTCCTGAACTTCAGGTCTTACGGTAAACTTAAGATAAAAATAAGTTTGGTGAAGCAAAAAGACTAGGGTTATTGGCATTTCCAGCAATGCTTTTCACCTTTCAAATTTACGAAAACTTTCAACACTATTTATCAATAATGGTTATCCCAGATACCTGATTGACAAGATTTTGTTCTGTCAAACATTAATGATAACAATAATCCCACCCTTTCCAATAATAATAATGACAATCTTTCCAACAATAATAGCAATACAGATGCTCCCTCAATTCCTGAATCAATTTTGCAGTCCTGCCGTATCCCAAGGACCCAACACCGAAACTTTCTAGACTGTGCAACACCTTAAATTGTATTGGTTACAAATCGTGCCTCACAAACAACAATGTCTTCTCCAAAATGAATGACAGAGTTCCTCTGCTTAGCTTATCCAATTATTCCATCAATTGCAATAACTGCAATCTCACATATATAGATCAAACATCTAGATCGCCTAAAGGTAGAGTTACCATAAAAGTGATTCCAGACTTCATCCAGAAAGACAGAGAAAGCCATCTATCTGAACGTTTGTTCCTAGAAATGTCTCACATCTTTATGACCGACAATTGTATGAACAAAAAAGCAGATGCATATTTGCAGAACTGCATTACCTAACAAGGTTGAAGGATAACATCAAAAAAACATCTTCCTTCTATCATGATATTTATTAATCTTGAAAATAAATTTTAAACTTCATTTGATGGTTGTTCGAAAGCATTTTCAATAGTTCATAAGTTTTCTAATTCTTCTAAATCCGTTAGTGTTTTTTTTGGGAAAAACATAGCCATGTTTTACCAATATATGTAATAAATAAAAATTCTTCCTTATCTAACCTCAACAATCCAATTTTTGTTGGTTGACTATGTGTTTTCTTCTACTTCGACTAAGAACAATTTCAGCAACAATCTCGCAGAATTAGTAAGTCATTTTTTTTTTGGCACTAGGACATTGCGTCCCATTAGTCAGCTCCAATCTCTAATTATGGACAAACACACGACGTCACAACATCCATGGCGAAGGCGAGATTCGAACTCGCGGCCCGGCCGGCCGGCTGATCAGTAGCACGACACTCTGACCTTAGTAAGTCATGATACCCTTTATTAATTGTTTATTGTTACGAATTTTTGCTGGTTTTCTTCATCAGTCCCGAAATGAGTGCACATATGCAACTTCAAAAGTAGATACACATGACCACA